ACACACACACACACACACACACACACACACACACACACACACACACACACACACACACACACACACACACACACACCCTAGATCACGCCATTCACCTCCTCACACACGGCTACATTACAAACCTAAGCCTTACGCGTCTACATTTACATCCTGGTCCGAACTTAGTACGACAGCATAATCACGATCAATAAATGTTGACACTCACCGATCGATCTGTAATCGACGCATTTAGTGAAAGTTTGCAGAGGACACAGACCACGCTGCAGGATGGAGGCCGCCATCTTGAGACTGAACCATTCGGCGCGAGGGGGGGGGGGGGGTTCAAAGAGACTCGCCACGATCTGGAATCGCTTAACATTTGGAAATACCTTATTATTACTAACACTTACTGAAAGACAGACAGGGTTCGTCACCTATATCAGAGGTATACCTTGCGTTTTATAGTACATTGTAATGTAGCCAACCAACCCCGTGCATCCGCAATGGTATAGTCTAGTCTGAGCGTGCGCGTTGACCTGTGAAAAAAACATTTTAATTATTTTTAACGAGTTAACGATTAAATTAACGATCAAGGACTGCGTCTGGATACTATTTAAGCGCAATTCTAATAATAGTTATATTGGTTCACATGGTGTGATGGCAGGTGTGTCCGATAGAGGGCGCTCTAATCTTAATCTCTGCTGGTTTTTATAAACAACAATTGAAAATTAATTTAAATACACTTCAGAAACATTATACATTAAACATTAACCATCTGCTGAACTCTTTCCCTTCACAGTGACAGTGACAGTCTGCAGTCATTCATATAGACCGAGTTAGAGTCCCTAAACATGGCCTATATATATATATATATATATATGTGCTGGATATATGTTGTAAACAGCAAAGCTCCATAAAATATATTCTTGAAATCGAAAATATATTTAGTTTCAACCTTCATATACAAAAATATTTTTTATACATTGAAAATAAATTTCCTTTGTGTTACGTTCACACGTGTTGTATAGACAACAAAAGCTCAGTATTATTTTTGTGAATGTTTTATATTTTCTGCGTTGTGTGTTTTTGTCATTTTTAGTAGTTTATAAACAGGTAGAGTCTTAATTAACAGGTATTATTAATTTTTATTTCAGTTTTAGTTTTAGTTATATTAGTTCATCAAGTGGAAAATGAGAAACGTTGCCTTGGCAACTAGCTGAAATTAAATAAGGTTTTATTTTTATTTATTTATGTTTATTTTATGTCAAGCATCATTGAGATACTATTAAAGTTTTCTGGATGTTTTGCATAAAATCATCATTTTGTATTGTTTTTTTTTTTAAATATGTTGATATTTTTATTAATTTTTATTTCAGTTTTAGTTTGAGTAATTTTAAAGTTAATAAAAATGAAAAATGTACTATACTAATATACTATTATAGTTTTATGGATGTTTTGCATTAGTTTAATATAGTTTAACATTTAAAAATGTTAGTAATTTTGTTGTGTAGTTTTGTCATTTTTATTGTTTTATTGTTTTTTTTTTAAATATGTTTATATTTTTATTAATTTTTATTTTAGTTTTAGTAATTTTAAAGTTAATAAAAATGAGAAATGTTGAATGAAAATAAAAACAAAATACAAAACATGTTATTTCAAGTAACAAACATGTATTTATTTAAGCCTATTTATTTATTTATTTTTTTTTTTAATATGGTTTTGGTTTTATTTAACCATAATAATCCCAATGTGAATGTATTTTCTTAGCTTTAAATATTAAATAATTTTTTTTTTAATTATTTAAAAAAAAAAGTTTTTTTTAAAATATTAAAATGTAATAAAAAATAAAAAAATTAATCAAATTTTTGAATGCTTATAAAATAAGTAATTAAATATATATATATATATTCTAAAAAAATAGCCCAAGAAATTGAGAGAAAATTCATTTACGTGAATATATTTTAGCAAATATTTTGAAATGTATATATATTTTTTGCTGCCAAAAAAAAAGTGCTTTTGTGTTCATTTAAAGGCCGCTTGAGTCTGTTCTGAAGTGTAAATGTGGCAGGATCGGGTCATTAACCGGAGGCTCTGGTCACACAGAAGTGGAAGTGTTTTTGTATTTTTCACAGTGCTACAGTTTTCTCATCAGCGCCGTGTTTACAGAAGCCCCTTTGTCCTGATTCATCCAGGACTTTCAGTTCAGCAGAGACGGTTCACAGTACCTGCTTCTGTGTGTTTCCACAGGCCTCAGACCAAACACTGAGGTGATCGGAAGACAGGAAGAGGATCTGAGCACTTCCTCTTTGCTCTCAGAGCTTCATCAGGACAAATACCCAGAAGGTGTGGTGCCTAAAAAAGCCATGAGAGTTGAATATTCATGCACAGAGATTTTATTTTATTTTGATCACAGATCCAGTCAAATGTACACCACCGGTCAAATGTTGAGGATAATTATGCATTTGTGTGTGTTATTAAAATGTGAAAACGGTCTGTTTTGCTCAAAAGGCTGCTTTTATTTGATTAAAAATACAGTAAAAATTGTGAAATATTATTAGAATTTACGATAGCTGTTTTCTATGTGAATATCAGTTAAACTGTAATTTATTTCTGTGATGCAGCGCTGTATTTTCAGCATCATTCCTCCAGTCTTCAGTGTCACATGCTCCTTCGGAACTCATTCTAAATTTTTATTTACTTCACAACTTATTCCACTATTTTTACTATCAGAAAAGAAATGCATTGGACGTCTTTCAAAGGCGTTCAAAAACCATCATTATTATGAATATGTGCTGAATGCCGCCCAACTCTCTTTCTCTCCATTTCCATTTGTGAACTGAAATTGTGCAACCACATTTTTTTGTAGTAAAAATCAGATTCGTTTTTTGTTCTTTTTCTGGGAAACAATGAGAAGTGCGTTATCGTGTGTGAAGGGTTTGGACTTATTCTCTAATACTTCCTTTTCTTTGCTGAGGAAGTGTGTTACTCGTTTTAAGGAAGAAAACCTGTCCAAAAGGTTGTAGAGTAAAAATAGACTACATTTAAGTTTACTTCAGAAAATATATGCTTGGCTATATAACACGATGTACTAGTCTTAAAGTTTTGCAAAAATTAGCTTTTTTGTCTCATTTTCAAAATGAATAAAAATGACTAAAGATATATCACGTTTTGTTTTCTGAAAGATGTATTAGAATTAATTGAGTTTATGATTAAAACAAGACTTAAAATATCTGTCAACTGGGTCAGAAAAATGATTTATTTCCCCCGTTGAATTTTGAAGTCTCATATTTTCGGGTATAAACAGTGCAAAAAATGTATTTCCTACTCAGTCATTAGAAATAGAAATATCTAGTCATTCTTTAATCAAGACGACGCAGAATAACTTAATATAATAAGTCTTGTTTTCTAAAAGAATTATAAAAATTGTGTTAGTTTTTGCTTGAAACGAGAAACATATCTGCCAATGGAGCAAGAAAAATTATATATATTTTTATTTATTTACAGTAAGATGTTTTTTTTTCCTCTGGAAGTTCTTTTTCTTCTTGTTTTAAGCAAAAACGAATTTTGATAATTTTTTTCCAAAAACAAGACTTGTCAAGTCGTTTTGCTTCTTAAGTAAATGTACTTTTATTGAAGAATAGATAGATATTTATACTGGGAAGACAAGTCAAAAACAAAAGTAACAAAAAAAAAGATTTTTTTTTTTTGCAGCAAACTCAAAAAATGTTTTTTCCAAAAACCTAAGAATTATATATTTTTTGTCGTGAACATGTCTTTATAGTATTGTTTAAATAGTAAGATCTTCATGATGACTGCATTATAATGTAATGTTGTCATTGCATTTAAAAGTCAGAAGTTTAATCTCTAAATGAATTTATTGTACTTAAATATTGATCAGCGTTCACACTGCAGTTGATTCACAGGCAAATAAAATCATCTCTGTGTTTACAAAAATACAAAACTATCAAAAAATCATAAATCTGTAAGTACTGCGTCAACCATTCATCATTAATTTATCAAAGTCAGAACATTTTAGAGCAAGAACACCTCCATTGAAGGCAATTAGCATTATCGGTCAGAAATATATCAGTTTTCAATTATATTAATTTCATTAAACATGATGAGATATTACCAAGTAGACTAAACATGCTACACGTCTTCTGAAAATCAAGATACTTTCACTGCAAAAAAAATGATGTTTTGTCATGTTTTCCAGTAAACATTCGTAAATCAAGATGCATTTACACGGCAAAAAATGATTCTCTTGCTTGTTTGTGTCTTGTGTTCTAGTATAAATATCTAAACATTCTTGAATCAAGATGCAAGTAAAATGACTTAAAATATGAAGTCTTGTCTTCTGTAAAAAAAAATATACACATTTTGTTCGTTTTTGCATAAAACAAGCAAACATATCTGCTAATGGGGCAAGAAAATTCTGAATTAAGATAAAATATTTTTACCCCATTAGCAGATATTTTTGCTTGGTTTATGCAAAAACGAACACAATTTATATTTTTTATAGAAAACAAGACTTAATATCTTAAATCATTTTACTTGCATCTTGAGTCAAGGATGTTTAGATATTTATACTAGAACACAAGACACTAACACTAAGTAAGAGAATCATTTTTTAAAGCAACATTACTTTTTATTGTTCAAAATTTAGCTTAAAACAAGAAAAATATCTGCCAATGGGGTCAGAAAAATTATCTTGTTTCCCTTTGAATATTGACCCCAATGGTAAATATTTTCTCTTGTTTTAAGCATAAACTCACTTAATTTTTAACTTAAGTAATTTTGCTCATTTAGATATTTTCTATTGGAAAACGTCAAAAAATATTGACGCAGGAAATAATTTCTGTAGATTTTTCACATGAAAAAAATACTGAAACATCATCATTCACAGCGTGTCTGAGAGTCTCTGTCTTGTTGTCCGTCAGCAGCCGTCCTCTTTATCTGTGTGTCGTCTGGTCTCTTCTGGAGAGGTCAGGACTGTACAGACTGTCCTCGTCTTCTTCTCGACCGGAGCTCCCGCCGTCAGACTGAGACAGACGCAGCTGCTTCTTCTGGGACAGATCGAAGGGCTCCTCCTGACCGATGCGGGACAGGATCCGCAGACGACCGGAGAGACACAGCCGTCCTCGTCGCCTGAAGACTGTGAGCATGCAGAGACATCGTCAAGATCATACAAGACCAACATAAGAGAGGACAGCTTCAGAAGACTAGTATGTGGAGCACAAAAGCAGTAGCACACACACTACCGGTCAAAAGTTTGGGATCAGAAGGATTTTTACAGGAGTCTCTTCTGCTCATCAAGGCTGCACATATTTGATCAGAAATACATTAAAATCTAAGTTATTTCTGTGATGCAAAGCATCATAACTCTACTCAATATTTTCTAACAATATAAATCTTTGCTATCACTTCTTATCAATTTAACACATCCTCGCTGAATAAAAGTTTTAATTTCTTTCAAAAAAGAATCATGAAAAAAGTATCAGTTTCCAAAAAACACAACTGTAGCAACATTGATAACTCTAATAATAAATCAGCATATTAGAATGATTTCTGAAGATCATGTGACGCTTTATACTGGAGTAATGATGATGGAAATTCAGCGCTGCATCACAGAAATACATTATATTTTAAAGGATATTAAAATAGAAACCATTATTTTATATTCTAATAACACTTTGCAAGATTACTGTTTTTTCCCTGTATTTTTGATCCAATAAATGCAGCCTTGATGAGCAGAAGACACGTCTTTAAAAAACATTACAAGTCTCACCGATCCCAAACTTTTGAACAGCAGTGTATATTTGTAGCAATAGCCAACAATACATTGCATGGGTCAAAACTCTAGATTTTTCTTTTATGACAAAAATCATTAGGATATTAAGTAAAGATCATGTTCCATGAAGATATTTAGTAAGTTTCCTACCGTAAATATATCAAAACTTAATGTTTGATTAGTAATATGCATTGCAAAGAACTTCATTTGGACAACTTTAAAGATGATTTTCTCAATATTTAGATTTTTTTGCACCCTCAGATTCCAGATTTTCAAATATTGTGCGATCCTAACAAACCATACATCAATGCAAAGCTAATTTATTCAGCTGATGCATAAATCTCAATTTCACAAAATTGTTTATGACAGCCCTTATGACTGGTTTTGTGCTCCAGGGTCACATATATAAGGCTTCTCACCGCGAGCGTCCAGTCCTTGGTCCATGATGCCGTGTTTGACCTTCATGTGGCGGGTCAGGTTTCCCTTCAGCGTGAACTTGCTGGCGCAGTAAAGGCATTTGAAGGGTTTGCTGTCAGAATGCAAGTGCATGTGGCCCATCAGATTATGCATTCTGTTAAACTCCTTTCCACACAGCTGTGAAGAGAGTAACTATTCAGAAATCATTGACCTGGTCAAGCACTATCAAAGCTCTATCAGACTCACAAATGAACAGAAGCTTGGGTAACACTTTATTTTAAGGCGTCCATGTTACACGTTACATGTACTTACAATATATTATATATAATATTATAATAACAATAAATAATGTATAATTACATGTAAGTAACCCTAAGGCAAACCCTAACCATATAGTAAGTACATGTAGTTAATTAATATTACTCAGTACTTAAATGTATAATTACACTGTAACAAGGACACCTTAAAATAAAGTGTAACCCAAGCGTGTCATAAAATAAAACAATAAAAAAAAGGTGATTGCAACTTTGTCACAATTCTGACTTTTTTCTCACAATTCTAAGAAACAACGTCAGGAATAGTGAGATATAAACTTAAAACTACAACAACAAAAAAGTAAAAATTGCCTAAGATACAAAATCGCAATTACAGTTATTTTTTTATTCTGCGACAGAAACAAAAGATCCGAAACTGAATTTTGGGATGTAAACTTAGATTTCTGAGACTAAACAAAAATAAAGTTAAAATAAAAATAAAGTTTATATCGTATGTGACCCTGGAGCACAAAACCAGCCTTAAGTGTCAATTTTTTGAAATTGAGATTTATGCATCATCTGAATAAAGCTGAATAAATAGCTTTCCATTGCTGTATGGTTTGTTAGGATAGGATAATATTGAATGAAAATCTGGAATCTGAGCGTGCAAAAAAAATCTAAATATTGAGAAAATCATCTTTAAAGTTGTTCAAATGAAGTTCTTAGCAGTGCATATTACTAATCAAAAATTAAGTTTTGATATATTTACGGTAGGACATTTACAAAATATCTTCATGGAACATGATCTTTACTTAATATCCTAATGATTTTTGGCATAAAAGTAAAATCGATAATTTTGACCCATACTATGTATTGTTGGCTATTGCTACAAATATACCCCAGTGACTTAACACTGCTTTTGTGCTGCAGGGTCACATATCATATCATATTTCTATGTAGCAAAATCAGACTAATGGAGTGACTTGTTGTCATTGTATTAAAGCCTACAAAAACCAAAGTGACTGAAGTGCAAGCCCCTCGTGGCATATATGTGAAAGCATTTGAAAGTGAGACTGAATCATGACAGTCGTGAGTTTCTCTCAGGAGAACAGAGTCCTTCCTCTACGCTCTTTTTTATTTATTAGGGTGGTTCTTTCCTTTCCTTCAGGAGGATAGAGGGACTGTAAACTGTCCAAACGGACCGTGAGAAAACAGGAAGGGCTCCTGAGCACAAGAGAAAGCGAGAAGAAATCTATTTGTGGGGCCTGTTCTCGGGGGACGAGAGAGCCATTGTTACACAGTCAGTTTGTGCAGCGATATCCTTCCTATAGACGAGGAGACACTCAGCGGCCAAAAACGTATCTGGTCATCGTTCGGACCGGCCCAAGGTCACACGCATTCCAAAACAAGCAAGGGTTAGACGTATTTGCATGCTTATTACACTTTACATTCAGAATTAGCTTTATTCGCCAAGTGTGTGCAAACACACAAGGAATTAGTTGTGGATTTTTAGGAGCTCTTGGTACATGCATAATACCAAAGTCCTTTTAAGACAAGTCAAGTCACTTGACGGCCATCTTTTGAAACTTTGAAACGCCTATCTCTTTGAATGGGGAAGCATCAAATTCTCCGAAACTTTTGACTAAGCTTACGATTAAATTTCATATTTGAAACCACCAAAGAAATCTGACAACAACTGTGTCATAAATGTTGTTACTTTTGCTCAAATATCGTTATAAAAAGCGTATTTTTCAGGCTAGATCAGCATGCTTAAGCGCACTGTTTCTATAGCAACCGGGCAGCTGCAGTGACCTCTGACTTTACCGATTAGCGATTGGCTCTTTCAATCAGAAGGCGGGGCTTCCTGCGATTGAGTGTTGCATTTCTCCCCATTCAAAACTATGCGAGTGACATGTCTTGGGTATTCTATAGTCTTTGATAATACATAATTCATAACTCTTGGTACTGTGGGATTACAAATTTAAGAATCTGTTTAAAATATGCTGATCCTATGTTCTGACATAGCATCACATGAAAAACTAAGGTGAAGTCATTTATGGTAAATTGCATCGGACAAATGATTGTCTTAAGCAAGGTGTGGCAAGAGGTTCCTGTCTGTTCCTGTTCTCTTATTGTTAGTAAAATGAACCAGATTACTGAGACGATCACCTTTTGTTTGTAATGGCTCTTGGTGCCTCTGCCCCAGTCTTTGAGTAGCTATGCTGATTGGATTAGGACTGTCAGATTGATTGCATTAGTACCTTTGCATTTGAATGACACTGTTATGCTGATGAGATCAGGGATGGAGAAATTCCGGTAACGGGCTGAATCCTGTATTGCATTTGCATGCTTTGTTTAGATTGTCTATAGCTCTACTGAATGAATCCCACCCCCTTAAAATGTATATAAACTCTACTGTGCCGAGCTATAGTCAGACTTGGATGACTGTAGCGACGCACAGCGAGTCCTCAATAAAGAGTGACTTCTGTATGAAAGATATCCCAACGTCTCCTGGTTTCTGCTTCGACGAGGAAAAAGTTTCCCAACAGTTTTGGTGCTGTGACCCGGATAGAGCTCCTCACCTGAATCCAGATTGAAACTTCAATCTCAACAAAGATCTGTTCCAGAAGTTCCAGACTGAATCTTTCTGAACAACCAAGGGTTGGTGAGTTCCACTCTATCCAAAAGAACCTTTAAGACCAGTACAAATGTGTTATCCTCTGCGCCGTCAGAGAAGAGTTAACAGACAGCTGTAGGGTTTGGTTAACTAAGTTATCCTCTAAAATATTTATTTTAGAGATGAAGGTTAGCCTCTGTTTCGGCAGAGAAGAATTGGTTATCCTCTGTTAAAACAGGGAAGATTAACATTACGTGTTAATATGTGTTACCCTCTGTTTCGGCAGAGAAGAAGTGAAGTTAATGTGCTAGTAATTTGCTTTGCTTTGCCAAGGAAGGTTAATAATAGTTGATGTGTTAACAAGCGTACCCTCTGTTGATCAGATGATCAGAGGTGTTTTGATTGTGTGGTAACAAAGAAACTCACAAAATGTTTAGAAAGAATGCTAGACTGATCCCCACAACTGAAAAAGGTGGTCGGATAGCGAATTCAAATCACTGTTAGGAGTGCAAATGAACCTAATAGTCACTGAGAAAGTTAGACAAGAACTAACTCAGAAATATGAGATCCATCCTGACAAGACTTGGTCTGTAGATGAGTCACGAATTGCGTTTACACTGATTGCACCCAGCTGTTTCATATCACTCCCTCACTATTTAACACTCACTCTGATCCCTTCCTCCCTTCCCGTATTGTTTCAGCATTTATCACTCCCCTAGAGATAGCTACTTTACGGAGCCCTTGTCATTTCCTTAGCCCTTGTCATTTCGCCTTAGCCTTAGCCTTAGCCTTAGCCTTAGCCTTAGCCCTTGTCATTTCTCCTTAGCCTTAGCCTTAGCCCTAGTCATTTGCCTTAGCCTTAGCCTTAGCCTTCTCGGTTTCTGATCTTCGCCTGGTTCCCTGGATTCACCCCTTTTGTCTTGCCCCTTTTGATTCTGTCTGCCGATCGTCGACCTGCTCTAGCCCTAGGACTATTCTTGTGTTTTGCCCACCATATACCTGTTTGCCCTCATCTGACCCATGCCTGTATCATTACCACGTCTCTGTCTTCGTTTCAATAAAGCTTGCATATGGATCCGCACGTCTCACGTCTCGTCAGCCCCGTAACAGCTAGACTGATCCCCACAACTGAAAAAGGTGGTCTCGTGACTCCTTTGTGGCCAGATAGCGAATTCAAATCACTGTTAGGAGTGCAAATGAACCTAATAGTCACTGAGAAAGTTAGACAAGAACTAACTCAGAAATATGAGATCCATCCTGACAAGACTTGGTCTGTAGATGAGTGTAAAAAGGTACTAGGAGTATGTATACGCAAGAACAATGTGAAAGGCATTATCTGCTGCCACAGAGAATTTGGTTTAGCGCTAGCTACACAACAGTCTCAGCGTAACTTAAAGCTAGAGGAACAGAACAAAGAGCTCCGTGCTAGAGTATCCTCTTTGACTAAGAAAATGAACCGCAACAAAGCTGCAGAAAAAACTGATGTGGAAGAAGTTAGTCAGCCTGATAACAATTATCCTGACTTACAAGCTTTCTTTGAAACAGATGTAGCCATCCAATCAGTAACTGATGTGCCTGTAGATTCAGTGAAGGTATGTGGCGCTACGAGAAGATCTAAGGGATTTCAGGGAATTGAAAGTGTTCCTCCCAACTCTTCTGTTGTCCAAGTACAAGCTGTTGCCATAGCACTAGGACCTAAAGATATAGAGAGACTCCCAGAGCTTACCCTCAGCACGCACAAATTTTTTTGAATTTAGAAGAGCATTGATCAGCAAAATTAGTCTCTACGACATGTCGTTAGCAGAAGTCACACAGCTGATGTCACAAATTCTAACTGAATCTGAATTCAACAGTTTTGAGTCTGCTGTTACTTCTGAACTACAACATGCCAGTAAAGGCGATTTGAGAGCAGGAGTTTTGAAAATTCTAAAGAATATCATGGGACCCAAAATAGACTGGTCCAGAATCACTAATTGTGTGCAAAGGAAAGAAGAAACTGTGAGTGAATACACTGAAAGGTTTTGTCAGTCAGCTGCAGCATACAGTGGAATAGCTGACACTCCAGAGAAGGTACTGGATCATAAAGGACCACTAGTTCGAGCATGGTTTGATGGCCTCTTATCAGAGTACAGATCTGCTTTGCCATTCTTAGATCTAACCTGGTCCACTGGAAGTTTGCAAAACAACTTGGACAGGTTAGCTACATGGGAAAGAGACTCTGATGTTAAAGCCAGAGTAAAGATTGCAGCAGTATCCTTTCAGGGCACAAAGTATAGACTCCAGAAACAACATATTCTTAGAACTGATGAATATGTCAAGAAATGCCTTGTTTGCTGGAATGACTCACTTGTGCACAAACATGGTGGTCAAGAACTCTTGGAACATTAATCCCGTTTTATGGTGTCATGCAGGCCCTTGATCAAGTTAGAAGCTTATCAAGAGGTTCCTGTCTGTTCCTGTTCTCTTATTGTTAGTAAAATGAACCAGATTACTGAGACGATCACCTTTTGTTTGTAATGGCTCTTGGTGCCTCTGCCCCAGTCTTTGAGTAGCTATGCTGATTGGATTAGGACTGTCAGACTGATTGGATTAGCACCTTTGCATTTGAATGACACTGTTATGCTGATGAGATCAGGGATGGAGAAATTCCGGTAACGGGCTGATTCCTGTAGTGCATTTGCATGCTTTGTTTAGATTGTCTCCACCTCTACTGAATGAATCCCACCCCCTTAAAATGTATATAAACTCTACTGTGCCGAGCTATAGTCAGACTTGGATGACTGCAGCGACGCACAGCGAGTCCTCAATAAAGAGTGACTTCTGTATGAAAGATATCCCAATGTCTCCTGGTTTTCTGCTTCGACGAGGAAAAAGTTTCCTACAGTAAATACATAATGCATAATTCAATGAAGAACTAAATTCACATCCCTCCCTCCACTTTGACCCATCCATTCATAGAATTAGCTTTGCATTATAACACCCAACTTTGGTTCTAGTTATTCAATTAACAGTTTGTTTTCTAGTACAAATATCTAAACATCCTTAAATCAAGATACATTTACTGGAGATGCAAAATGAAGATATGAAGTCTTGTTGGAGTTAGTTTATGCTCAAAACAAGAACAAATACCTGTCAATCAGATTTTTCTGACTCCATTGGCAGATATTTGTTCTTGTTTTAATCAAAAACTCACTTCATTTAGATCAGTTTCTCAGAAAACAAGACTTATTCTTATCTTAAGCCATTTTGCTTCTCCAGTAAATGTGCCTTGATTTAAGAATCTTTGGACATTTTCAACGTAAAGCAGGACAAAAATACAGACGAATAACATCACTTTTTTTTTCAAATATCCAAACATCCTTAAATCAAGAATGAGATGCAAAATGAAGATGTGAGAAACTGAATAAATGAAGTGAGTTTATGATTAAAACAAACAGATATCTGCCACAGAGGATTGAAAACGTGTTTTCTGACTCCACTGACAGATGTTTATTCTTGTTTTAAGCATAAACTCGCAGCATTTTTATCAGTTTATCAAAACTTAAATTTTTTCTCAAGTAAACTAAGTCTTGATTTAAGGATCTTTAGACATTTGCACTGGAAAACAAGACAAAACTACTGGGGAAGAACAGCACTTCTTTGCAGCGTGATCAGTTATTACTGATTTATTATTGTATATTTTTTGGAAAATTATTTAAAAAGTAATGGAGATCTGTTGGAAGTCGCACTGTATTTTCAAAATTTGAAGCATTTGAGGAAATTATATTGACATATACAGTATGCACAAAACCAGTCATAAGTTTCAATTTTTTGAAATTGAGATTAATACATCATCTGAAAGCTGAATAAATCATCTTTCCATTGATGTATGGTTTGTGAGGATTGGACAATATTTGTCTGGGATACAACTATTTGAAAATCTGGAATCTGAGGGTGCAAAAAAATCTAAATATTGAGAAAATCATCTTTAAAGTTGTCCAAATGAAGTTCTTAGCAATGCATATTACTGTGTATTGATATATTTACAGTAGGACATTTACTAAATATCTTCATGGAACATGATCTTATACTTAAAGCTGCAGTCCATAACTTTTTTTTGTTTAAAAATGATCCGAAATCAATATTTGAGCAAGTACATAACCAGCCAGTGTTCGAAACTATCACCTTACTATAGCCCAATTCACAACGGTTAGTTTATAATAATGTTTTCTAATTTGAGTGGTACGGGTAGGTTTTCGCGGGAAATTCGAGCATGCTGCCGCGTCATTACATCACGTCTGTAAACATAAAGAAGTTGTCCCGGCTACTAGACTATCGCATGTGAGGATCCTGCAGGTGGCCGATCGTTTATAGCCTTTTCTCACAGCAGCCAGAATAATTAAATTTATCATTTTGATGGCGAATTGTAATCCAGAAAGGATTATGTGTTTTCCAGTTAATTGTCAATTATATTCCAGTTTAAATGTGCTTCTGATTACAGATAGCCTGGGATTACACAGATTTGTATTTTAAAGACAACCAGTTCGAAGGGAGCATAATTTGCTTTTTGGGTTAAAATTATTTTTAATATGAAATTGAGTGGTATGAAAATTAGAGATTAGACTGTACAGAAATTGAAATCTACTCACTTATGCACTATACTCATAGTCACACAATGCTGATGTTGTTAACATTAACAATTTGAGAATAAAGTATAACAATAATAATAATTTGAACGGTTTGATGTGATATGAGCTCATTTAGATTTAATCACCGTTGGTAGCACGGTTTATTGTAATGCTTTTTTCCTCAGTTGGTCAGAACAAAAGTGGCAGACTTGTTACTTACTTGTTCAGATGACAATATCCGGTGAAAATGCTTATTTGGCTCATATTTTCCAAGACGTAGGCTAGAATCTGTGAGTGCAAAGTACAATATCCACACATTCACCTCAAAACATTAGATTCATCCGCGCCGGAGCACAACCCACGCAAGGGAGATAATTCCGCACTCAGCTGCAATTGTAGGTTTTCAAACAGAGATGGCGACTAAGAGGCAAAACTTACAGACTGCAGCTTTAATATCCTAATGATTTTTGACATAAAAGAAAAATCAATCATTTTGACCCATACTATGTATTTTTGGCTATTGCTACAAATATACCTGTGCTACTTATGACTGCTTTTGTGCTCCAGGGACACATATTGCTATCATATTACATCTTTACTTGTTCTTAAAAACTCTTAAACTGGCCTTCATCAGACCTGCAGAAAGCCTGGATGAATGGCGTTGAGTGGGCGACGCACCTTGCATTTGTAGGGCTTGATGTCGGAGTGGACGATCATGTGAGCCTTGAGCGTCTGCTTCTGGACGAAGCTCTTGTAGCACAGCTGGCACTGATACGCTCGGATGTTGGTGTGAATCAGAACGTGCCGCTTCATGTTAGCCAGCAGCGTGAACTCACGGCCACAGATGCGACACTTGTGCTCCTTCACTCCCTGAAACACACACGGAGGAGGATGAACGGTCCATGAGGAGCCAAACGAGACTCATCAATGCTCTTTAGAGCAGATTCACAGTTATAGACATTTGATCAGTTCATGCATTCCCTGGGAATCAAACCCATGGCCTTGGTTTTGATCTACAGGAATAGATATGAGGTAGGCTTCTCCATTGGTTTTGCTTCAGCACCCATGCATATTTAGTTTACTGGACATCAAGTAGTGATACAATCTTAAAAAAATAACAAAATATTCTTAAAACCGAACACTGCAATTGGTGGTTTCTTATATGGTTTTTATGTGCTCGATAGCATAATTTGCTTTTTGGGTTAAAATTATTTTTAATATGAAATTGAGTGGTATGACAATTAGAGATTAGACTGTACAGAAATTGAAATCTACTCACTTATGCACTATACTCATAGTCACACAATGCTGATGTTGTTAACATTAACAATTTGAGAATAAAGTATAACAATAATAATAATTTGAACGGTTTGATGTGATATGAGCTCATTTAGATTTAATCACCGTTGGTAGCACGGTTTATTGTAATGCTTTTTTCCTCAGTTGGTCAGAACAAAAGTGGCAGACTTGTTACTTACTTGTTCAGATGACAATATCCGGTGAAAATGCTTATTTGGCTCATATTTTCCAAGACGTAGGCTAGAATCTGTGAGTGCAAAGTACAATATCCACACATTCACCTCAAAACATTAGATTCATCCGCGCCGGAGCACAACCCACGCAAGGGAGATAATTCCGCACTCAGCTGCAATTGTAGGTTTTCAAACAGAGATGGCGACTAAGAGGCAAAACTTACAGACTGCAGCTTTAATATCCTAATGATTTTTGACATAAAAGAAAAATCAATCATTTTGACCCATACTATGTATTTTTGGCTATTGCTACAAATATACCTGTGCTACTTATGACTGCTTTTGTGCTCCAGGGACACATATTGCTATCATATTACATCTTTACTTGTTCTTAAAAACTCTTAAACTGGCCTTCATCAGACCTGCAGAAAGCCTGGATGAATGGCGTTGAGTGGGCGACGCACCTTGCATTTGTAGGGCTTGATGTCGGAGTGGACGATCATGTGAGCCTTGAGCGTCTGCTTCTGGACGAAGCTCTTGTAGCACAGCTGGCACTGATACGCTCGGATGTTGGTGTGAATCAGAACGTGCCGCTTCATGTTAGCCAGCAGCGTGAACTCACGGCCACAGATGCGACACTTGTGCTCCTTCACTCCCTAAAAAGATGTGCATGAACAGTCCATGAGGAACCCCACGAGACCGCATTTAGCAGACGCTTTTATCCAACGTGACTTAGATTGCATTTAAAATTTACATTTGATCAGTTCATGCATTCCCTGGGAATCGAACCCATGACCTTGGTGTTGCGAGTGGCATGATTAAGGTGTTTGAGCTACAGGAATATGAGGTAATAAAGCAATAAGCCCCAAGAAGCCGTGGTTTACTGTGAATTTATAACAGCTAAGGGGCGTTGTTAGACCCCCTAAAACGCCGCTGTTATAAATTCAGTGTAAACCACAGCTTCTCAGGGCTTATTGCGTTTAGAAAATGGTTATTCCATATACGTACAGAGCAAATAAAGTGTAATGATATTAATAAAAACAGTATTCTTCCACCAAAAAATGTAGCTCCTCAGAAACAGTTGTGGGTGCAACAAAGTGGTTGCCGAGCAACAGACAAACGTAAAGCAAGGTGTATGTTACTTTGTAGTAATTTACAACAGCTTTGAACGCGGCTCAGCCAATCAGAATCAAGGACCGGAACTCTCCGTTTTATAACTAGGTTTATATACTGTAAATGTGTGCTTCTCAAGTTTTTTTTTGCTATGCTTCCATATTTTATCAAGTAATGACACATTCTTATCTTACAAGATGTAAAAAAAGATTCTTTATATCAAACCATGAAATTGGTTTTTATGTGCTTGATGGCCAATAATTCATATTCACAAACCATTTTTATCCTCATATTTAATGCTTCCTGGGTTGTGTTTTTTGTATAGTGGATGAGGGCGTCACAACCCATTTATGTATCATCTGTCTATTTTGACTAGACATCTACTGTACCATGTGACTTCGAATTCGACTTTGATTGATGCCTGACCTTTGACATTAGCAACAGGAGAAATGGGAAGTGTTTTCTTCTTCCTTTTCAAAGTAAGTCTCCATTTACTAATTTATGGTTAGTTGCATTGATGTGTTTTCACTGCTGTTTATGAGTTGAAAACCTCTGATGTAAACTCTTCACATACTCAGTATTTTCTTGTTTTCCAGTCCAAATATCTAAACATTCATAAATCAAGATACATTTATGCATTTAGCAGATGCTTTTATCCAAAGTGACTTACAAAAGATGAGCAAAAGCCATTCAACAACAGTCGTAATATACAATGCCAAGTTTATTAGACTTTATTAGTTTTTTTACTTGAGAAGCAACATGGCATAAGAAGTCTTGTTTTCTAAAAAACTGATCAAAATGAATTGAGTTTATGATTAAAACAAGAATAAATATCAGATTTTTGAAAACACAATATTTTAAGTAATTTGCCTTTTCAAATAAATGCATGTTGATTTAAGAATGTTTAGATATTTGTACTGAAAAATGAGACAAAAATTCTTATGGACATTTATTTTTGCAGTGTACACAATGCTGGGTTTTAACCCAGCGCTGGGTTAAAAAGGGACAAACCCAGCTATTGGGTTGTTTTGACCCAGCGGTTGGGGTGTTTTGAACCCAACCA